CGGTTTGAACACTTTTGCTGCTGAGATGGTTTGCATGTCGGCAGGTTGAAAGAAAAACACGGTCCTGTTGGTAAGGAGGTTGGGAGATCATAGACTGATTCTGAGCATGGTTGAATCAAGTGGCATGATTCCCTACTTGGTGCAGCCATATATAAGTGGGGATCTCCTAGAAATAGCTATGTTTTTTCCGTTATTTCGTGCATTTACTATCTGGGATGTATGTTCTCCAAGTAGAACTGACAGGTTTTCAGTGATTCCTTGGGCGCCAAACAATCCTGACTTCCGGGGTGCAGGCCAGGGGTGGAAGAAATGAAGTTGGGATATGGGGCCCCTAACAACTATGGTTCTATCACATAATGGCGATAGAAGCATCAACGATGCTGATTTCATGGGATTTCATCAGGTTAGAATGGTCATTGAATGGGATTTTCAAGCCATGAAAGTCCAGTCGTCTTGTCCCCCCGAGGTTTGAGCGTGTCTTCAGGGTCCTCAATGCCATGGAGGCGAAGATACCAGGGTCCTCAATGCCATGGATGGAACATGGTAACAATCAACATTTGGGGGACCCGATTTTCAGACAAACCTCATGCTATGGACATGTTTAATGGGAACACATGGAACATGATGATCAAACATTGGAGTTTGGGGATAGTTTGGAGACGTTTGAAGGTATTTTCAGACTGCAGCACTGACAAAAGCCAATGCTTATGTGCGTTTTCATTGGGTATGAACCAATACTAGTTGTGGCAAGGTGGAATCTTCACAGTGAAGAGCCTGGAGTCAGAACTTTGATGAATCTGAATGATAGGCTGTTGGGGGGTCCTACTAGGTCTTATTTGTCACAAGTTTTGGCGGTCCATGGGTCCCAAAAAAACACCCGGAGGGATCAAATCTCCTGCCAGTGCCTCACAAAATCCCATTCGAAGGCTTCAGGTTGTCATTTGTTCGACATTTTTCTCTATAGCAACCCCCAAAAAAACGCTGTTTCAGGTGTGTTTCACACACCTTTCCGAGATATTTTTTTGATGATATTTAAAGGGACAGATCATATTTATATATATTTATCATTTTGATGTTGGGGTTGCCATTTGAAGAACATGCAGATTTGGAGCTAGAAAAAACCCCGGCCCCAAGTCTCACTGAAGGGTTGATCCAGCCACCGCCAGGCCGGTCTTGATTCTCTGGGCTCCGGCTTTGCGCAGAACCCACGACTAGGCGCAGAGGATTTTTTTCCACATGTTACAATATGTTACAGCTGATTTTTGGCAGCCAAGTTCCAAGGAAATTCCCAGAAAACCTCTGATTTTGATGAAGTTCAGGTATAGTTAAGCTGAAGATAATGGGCTTTTCAGTTTGTTTAAGGAGCATTCATGCTGGAAAAGATACAGCTGGTCCTGGTTCCGAATAGAGGAAGTGGTTTCCAACTCGTGGTTGGAAACCACCAGTTGGAAGTCAGTGGAACAATGCCCAAAATCCCTGCTGGTTGATGGCCCTATGAGGTCAATGAAGTGGTTGATGGCCCTATGGGGATTTATGATTTAATGGGCTTGTGCAAGCAAGAAATCTGGTATTCAATGATGATTTTTTTGATAGGATCATGGTTAGTTGTGACACTGCTTGGGATACCATCTGCAGTGGATAGTTAACAATTGATAGCTAGTGGGGATATCATGGAAGTATAGTGAGTATATATAACCAATGATGATCTAAATCTAGGTGGTTTCAGCCATAGTTTGTCTTTTCAAGCCGCAACATGGCCATAGTTTGTCCCAGTAGAAACCACCTTGCGCAGATGGGATTCCGTAGGGTACGGATAATGCCTCTGAAGACTTTTGCCCTGACAGTGATGTTTAGTATATTTTAGTCTCAAATAACTCAAATATCTTGAATTTTGACTCCGAAAAAAAATCCCGACTTTTTCGATATTTGAGACCTAACAACTGGACCCAACATCTAATGTCCAACAAGTATGTGGGATGATAATGTTCATCCAATTCGATTCCTATCAGATCGCTGTCAAATCTGGTGAAGTGATTCTGGGTGAAATTCATTGATCTTCGAAATCATGGCATGGCAGATATATGATTTCAACAACAGATAATTATATATATGAGATTAAGATGGATCAAAAGTTAAAAGACATGTATAAACAGCATAAACAGCTATAATACATGGGATTAGGATAGATTAAGCCACCTGAAATCAAGAAACATACATCCAATATATTAAACCGCCTTTGTAGGGTTAGGGATGCGTGACTACTACACTGGAGGGTTTCAGCTCGTCCGCAACCTGATATGTGAATAGTGACAACTCACAAGTGAACAAAACAACTGGTGAGCCACTATTACCATCTGGTTATTTGACATAGCCATGGAGAATCACCATTTTTAATAGGTAAACCATCTATAAATGGGCCATTTTCCATGGCTATGTGAAATAACCAGAGGGTAATCCCAATAATCCCATTAAATTAAAGAATGGATCAATCATTACTGGCAGTTTTTGCAACTGGTGAGTCCATTGTTTTTTTACGATAGCCACAGCAAGAGATCCCATTGAGACCGTCTTTCATATCCCTGCGAGTGGGATATGATGTTCTTCATGACCCACACAAATACCTGAGCTGCTCCTGGGTCACGGCTTACAAGCTCTTCAAACCCCTTCCAACTGGAATAATATGGCATACAGTGGGATAGACCGGTAATCAACCATGGTAATTGAACATCCCGGAGGTTCATAGCTGGGAAAATCATCTTAAATCAGGGATGTGCCAGCAAGCCATGTCGCGGGAGGGTATATTATATATTATCCCAGTGAGATCCACATTATATCCCGTAGTATCTTATATTAACTAGCCCATCTTATCCCATTCTCTGGTGTCTTATTACATATTAATCCATATTATAATTATCCAGTGGAAATATCATAATTATGACTTATGACACTCATATCATATCCCATATCGTATCCCATTGATATCATATTGATCATCTCATATGACACCATATTATCAAAATTCAATCATCCGATTAATAATCATTCATAGTAGATTATCCCAATAATTATCCCATCAATCTTTATATAATATCTTATACTATACCATATTTCATCTTAATTATCCCATTAACTATACCTTTAATATGTAATCTAAGAATTATCTAAAATTATATCCATTCATCTAAAATCCATTCATCTAAAATTATCTTATGTATTATCCTATTAATTATCCAATTAAGAACATATACCAATATACACACATATATATATACATACACATATCGATTAACTATCATCCCATACCATCTAATCTAAAAATCATCTTTAAATAAATATATATATATATATCCATTCATCTAAAATCCATTCATCTAAAATGATCTCATTCATCCTATCCCCATGTTTTTTTCCCCATTAAAGCAGCCACCTTGGCTCGATGGACAGCCACCAGGCTACCTTGGCTCGGATCCTGCCCTGCTGGGCAGTTGCATGATCGCCAGCGGGGAGACCTGGGAAAATCTGTGGAAAATCTGGGAACCTACGGATTTCGCTGGCCCATCCACAGTATGGGGGAAAAACATCCAGAAGTATGGGAAAATGGTCATTTATAGTGGATTTTCCCAAAAAAAAATGGTGATTTTCCATAGTTATGTTAAATTACTAGAGGGTATGGGGGAAAAACATCCAGAAGTATGGGAAAATATATGGGAAAATCATCCACAAATCGATGTACCCTCTGGTGAAAGAGCTAACTGGCAAATCCCTCAAATGGAGGTTTTGGTAGGACATAATAGCACAATCATCGAACTAAATGGGGAGTTTTCCAGCCATGGAGCTGACTATCGGAGGGTATGGCATCAGATTTCGACTGTACCTAGTGGTTTTGTGCCAAGGATGGCCCAACGAATGCCTGGGTCATTGGGACTGGCACGCTTTGATGGCATGGTCACCCAGCAAATTGAAAATTGGTCGAACTCAGATGTCATGGGAGAATGTGGTAAACCCAATATAAACCATGCCCCCAAATGTGGTATATCCCAATTTATCCCAATATAACCCATATAACCCATTACCCAATATATCCCAATATAACCCATATAACCCATTACCCAATATAAACCAATATAAACCATCAGCGAATGGTAGGTTTCTGTTGTTGACTTTTAAGATACCCCCCATCTGGTTGTTCACCGGCCAGTCTCCAGGTGTGGCCATTCAGATCCCACTGCTCAGTATGAAGCCGGAGTGCGGAAGCCCATTTTGTTTTATATAAATGTAATGAATATAGAGTTTATACATAATATAAGTGAATATCATATGTTTTTTTTGCATTAACCAACTCTAAATATAAATTAGAGGCCTTTTTTGTGATATAACCAACTTAAGGCCTTAGCTATACCATTGATATACCCTCTGGTTATGACTGTTACATAGCCATGGTAGTTCGATGGCCCATGGAAATGGATGTCGATTTTCCCAGCTAGAAACCTCCATGGCTATTTTGGGAAATTTCCATGGCGAACTGTTAGTCATAACCAGATGGTAATTGAATATCATGAATATAGCATTTATACATAATATAGTTGAATAATGTTGAATATATAATATAATATAATATATAATAGTATAATATATAGATGTATTACAAAGATTGACTTATTGATGGATGACATCCTCTATTTTGAACCCCCTCAGGAGATGGTTTAACAATCCACTGCAACTTCGAATGACAGTGTGTCGTAGTCATCGAGTCATCAAAACCAAGCGGTGTAGTCATGCTTTGAGTTAATTCTGGGATATATACTATAGTTAATTCTGGGATATATACTATAGTTAATTCTGGGATATATACTATAGTTCTGGGATAAAATTCTGGGATATTATATTGATATATATATATATATGTATATGATATTGATCAGATATGTGTACAGTGTAGACTATGTCACATGTAGCATATATGTTTGTATATGTGCTGCAGCCATTTTAGTGCTTTCAGCTACCTTCGAGCTGACTGAGTGAAAAGGTGCTGATCAGTGCTCAGGAGTGTTCATCAGATTTAAGAGCCCAAATTCTCTGTTCATGGTAGCGGAGCTGAGGTTCTGATACCCAGCTGTGAATGTGTAGGTGTCAACGCCGAGCTGCATCAGCTCTGGCGCGCCTACCCAGTGCCAACTGGAAAAGGTTGACACTCAAGCTCCTGAAAATCAGGAAAATCCAAAGATACTTCCATAACCTTGGAGTGCATCTCCAAAGGTACCAAGGGTTCTCTTGAATCAGGTCTCTAAGCACCTGAAGAACGACTAAGGATGGCTCAGCAACAGCAGCCACCTCAGCAACCAGGCACTCCACCGGCACCACCACAAGCACAAGGCAACGGTCCCAACATGTCCCAGATGATCATGCAGATGATGGCCCAATTGACTCAGGGTCAGGCGCAGTTGAATCAGGCAATGACTGAGGCTATGAGCCAGCAGCTTCAGATCAACAAAAATGTTGAGAGATCTGTTGAGTACAAAGACAGATCAAAGTTGAAAGGCATACCAAAACCTGACAAGTTCAATGGAGCATCAGGCACTTGGGATAGTTGGTGGTACAAGTTTAAGACATGGGTTGAAAGTTGCCACAAGAACGCTGTGAAGATTGTGGCACAAGTCGAGTCTCAGTGTGACAAAGAGATCACTGAGTCAAGTCTAGAAGTAGACTTTGATGAAGGCGCCGAGCTAGTTTCAGCTCAGGCTAGACAAGCCCTCATATCATTGACTGAGGGAGAAGCGTTGGAAATTGTCAAGAACACATCTCGTGGTAGCCACTTTGGCCTAGAAGCCATGAGACGACTGTTGTGCAAATATGATCCTCAAAATCCTCAAGCCAATTCAGCCTTGTTGAAAAAGGTTCTGCATCCAAGTCAATGCAGTCTTGATAAGCTTCGAGAAGGGCTTGAGAGTTGGGAGAACTTGAAAAGAAAGTACGAAGACAGGAGAAAGAAACCACTTGAAGATGACATCTGCAGGAGTTGCTTGCAGCAGATGTGTCCCAACAAGTTGCAAGATCATTTGGACTTGCAGGCTTCGAGATTGACCACGTATGACCAGGTGAAAGCTGAAGTTTTGGCCTACCTTGAGAACGTCGAGACCAGGAAAGAAGCAAAGTCAGGAGCCGTTCCCATGGATGTGGATTCCCTTGCTAAGGGTAAGGGAAAAGGAAAACATGATAAAGGGAAAGGCAAAGGTAAGTCCAAAGGTAAAGACAAAGGAAAGAGTCAGACTTCGTCTTGGTCAAACAACTCATACAACAAGTCTTGGAACAATCAGTCTTGGAACAATCAATCTTGGAATCAGCAGTCTTGGTCTAAACAGAATACCAATGACTCCAAGAGCAAAGGCAAAGGTAAGAAAGGTCAAGACAAAGGTAAAGGAAAAGGGGATCAAGGCAAAGGTCGTAAAGTTGCTAATGTTGAGTCTGACACTTGGGCTCAAGAGCAACAACCTGCAGCCTCATCTGGTGATCAACCTGAACCAGAGATCACTGCGCTGTTTGCCTTGGAAGACACTATGCCACCCAAGTCTGAAGCTCGAGATGAATCTTCTCGTCGTGGTCGAAGCCCAAGACGAGCAAACCTTCAAGCACCTTCAAGGAGCACTGTGACCAGGAGCGCGATCGTCATGGCTCAGAGCGCTTTGGCATCAGCTTCTGGGTCTAACAAGGAGCTGTTTGGCAAGATGATTGCTCAGGCTGAGAGCGCTGTCAAAGAAGCTCAGGACAAAGGGCGTCAAGCAAATCAAGCTCTTAAGGAACGCCAAGAAGCCCTGGACAAGTTGAAGAAAGAGGCAGCCCAGCATCACAAAGAGGCCAAAGAGGCAATGGCCAAAGTGAGGGCAGAAGGCCGTGCTGCTTCAGCACCGGCTGCACCCTCTCGTCGGATGCAAGCCGACCTTGATGCTGGAGTACATCCAAGAGCTGCCAAGAAGAAGGAGAAGGACAGGCAGAGAGCTGCCAGTCATCGAGCAGCCACTGCTAGACAAAGAGCATCCAGCTTCAAGCGCTATGAGTTGGCCACCTTTGGACAGGCCGACCCTGACAAGTGGGACAAGGATGACATGGGAGATCTTCCTGAACCTCCCAAAGCAAGAAAGCTGGAACCTAAGCGCCACAGAGGAGGACGTCATTGGTCTGACAGACGTAGAGCAGATGAAGCAAGGAAGAAGGCCAATAAGGAGAAGATGAAAGAGATGAGCAAGGATGAGATCCCACAATGGATCCATGACAAGTGTGAGATTTCCTCTGAAGAGAGCATTTCCTCTGAAGGATATGAGTTTGTCAGCAGACTTGAAAAGCTGAAAACCGATCCTGAAGTCCTCAGCAAGTTGGACAACGTCTTGAAGGAAGCCTACGAGAAAGCCTATGGTGAAGTTCTTGACCTAGGATCTTCTGATGAGACAGATCCAGACGATTTGCCCTACAACCAGGAGCCAGCACCAGGCATGGAGGATGTGGTCGAGCATTGGCAGAATTCCTTTCGAAGACCCATTCCATTCAAGGAGTTGCATGAGAAGTGCAAAACTGTCTCCAACAAAGGGTATCCCTATGTGAAGTGCCAGTCATGTGGAAAGGCACTCAACTCCATGAGCGTTGCAAGCTTTTGGCAACATGTGGAGAACAAGCAATGCTATCCTCAGTATGCCCTGGAGTTTTGGAAGAAAGAACATCGTCAGGTAAAGGCAGAGAGAGAGGCACGAGAAGAAGGAGAATCATCCCAGAAGCGCCCCATGGATGATGCAGAAGCCAAAGATGAGAAGAGGCGCCAAGAGATTGCCAAGGATGAAGAAAGGAAGAAGCGCAAGCAAAGCTTTGAGGAGCACTACGAGCGCTTCAGGCACAAGGGCAAAGATGAAGTGAAGCCCGAGGTGAAGAAGATCCCCAAGAGGCCAGGGGAGAAAGAGAAGGTCGAGGAGAAAGAGAAAGAAGAAAAGAAAGAAGAAGAAGAGGCACCCAGAGCACCCATCGAGCTGAAGTCCAAATCCCCATCGAGAGCGCCTGAGGACAGCCGGGCTGATTCAGCCCAGGCGTCCAAGGGCAGGGGAAAGTTCAGCATGGGCACCAAGAGATTCCTGGAGAAGACGGTGCGTGATGCAGCTAACTACATGGAAAGAAAAGCCAGGAAGAAGAGGGAGAAAACGCCATCTCCCAAGCCCAGGAAGCATTCACCAAGAGGAGGAGTTCGATCTGATTCCAACCTCGACTTCCTGGGAAGTTTGGCATCTCAGGTGGATACCATTGTCTGGGCCACCGTTGACTCAGGGGCAGCAACCAGTTGCCTACCCAAGGAATTGGCACAGTCATTGGAGTTGGCTATGACACCTGTGGATGAGAAGCCGTTCACCAACGCATCAGGGCAGCCAGTCCAGGTGCATGGGGTGTGCAACCCTATAGTGACCATGGGTGAGAAAGGAGGCCCACAAGTCAAAGGTGTGGGACAGTTCCGGGCAATGGATGTTGCAAAGCCATTGTTGTCTGTGTCCAAGCTGGTTGAGAAAGGCTGGACAGTAACCTTCGGCCCCAATGGATCGTTTCTGCAAAGGGGAGCCAAGAAGGTTCCAGTCACCATGACTGGAGGTGTTTTCAAGATAGCCATGGATTTTCATGGGCAGCCCACAGAAGGGTTGAAGGCGTAAGTCCTGTGGAGACCACAGAGAGCGCAGGTAGTGGAGATGATGAACCGGGCAGTAGTAAGCTAGGTTCTCAAGCGCTACCAACTGCAGCAGCGCCGACGCAGAGAGAAAAAGAAGAGCATTTTGTCAGCCATTATCCTTTTAGGAGTTGGTGTGAACATTGCATTCGAGGTAAGGCAAAGGCAATGAGACATGTCAAAGTAGATCATTCAGATGAAACAGTTCCTGTGATCTCAGCTGACTATTGTTTCATGAATTCAGTGGATGACACTGTCATCACAGAAGAAGTGCAGAAAAAGCATGCACCAGTTTTGATAGTACATGATCGATGGTCCAAGTTGACCTACGCACACGTTTTGCCATACAAGGGAGTTACCCAAGGTCCTATTGGATCTAAGTGTCTTTTGAATGACCTTAAGAAGTTTGGGTACCCCAAGATGGTCATGAGGTATGACCCAGAGCCTGCACTCAACTCCGTAGTTGAGGCAGCCAAGAATGGTTTTGACAAACAGTTGGTTTTGGAAAAAGTTCCCAAAGGAGTCTCAGAATCCAAAGGGGAAATTGAAAGAGCAGTTCAAGCTATTGAATCTCAATCCAGGACACTCAGAAGTGCCTTGGAGACAAGCTATGGAAGAAAGGTGCCAGACGACCACCCAGTTTTGACATGGTTGGTTGAACATGCTAGCACCACTTACAATTTGTTTCACAGATCATTGGAAGTCAAAGATGGGAAGACACCGTACTCTAGACACCGTGGTCGTGAGTGGAGAGTGTCATTACCACCATTTGGGGAAACAATTGAATTCCTCAAAAGAGGTCACAAGTTTGAACAAAGATGGCACCAAGGAGTTTTCTTGGGAGTCAAAGACAATACCACTGAGAAGATAGTGGGAAATGCATCAGGTGTTTTCACTGTGCAAAGCATTCGACGCAAGAGTGCTGACGACAGATATGATGCCGAAACTTTGATGTCAGTCACTGGGGTTCCCTGGGATCCTCAAGCATCAAAAAGAGATGATGTTTTGCTTCCTCAGATTGTTGGGGGAGATCAGCAGCCACTGGCGCCATCAGTGCCAGTTGAGCCACCAAAGAAGTCGACAAGACGACTTTACATCACCAAACGTGATTTGGACAAGTATGGCTACACCGCTGGTTGTGTCGCCTGTGATGCCACTAGAATTGGCAAAAGAGGCACTGGAGTTCATCACACTCCAGCCTGCAGAGAAAGGATGGAACGTCTGCTTCAAGCAGAAGAGGGCAACCTGAGAGTAGCCCAACATACGGCCAAGGTTGATTCTGAAATCACTGGTCAGAAACAAGAAGTGTCCGAAGAAGGCACAAAGATTCTTTATGGGTATTCAAGTGAGAAACCACAAGAAGTTCCTCACGGTTTTAAGGTGTTTGCGCGCCTTGACAAGAATGCAAGGTATCTCAAGGGTACTATGCCAGAAGGTCCCAGTTGGGATAATGTCTGGTGGAGAGTCACCAGAGATTTCAAAACAGGAAACATTATCAAGTCTGAACCAATGGATCCTAGTTTAGGAGATGAAGTCATCAACGCGCCTTTGATTGATGACGCAGATATCGTCACTGAACTGTGGTACTCAGCCACAGGGGAATCTGCTCCAAGTTTGCCAACAGCTGGACCTGCTATCGCGAGGCAGAGTCCTGCTACCGGACAAGCTGCAGATCCACCTGCAGAAAGCGCAAGCGCAAGCACAGCCTCAGCCAAGAGGGCAGGAGGCGAGCAAGAAGAAAGAGCACACAAAAGGTTGGAAATGTCTCCAACCAAAGGTCGGAAAAGACCTGCAGACTCAGGAGGCGAAACGTCAAAGTCCAAGGACAGCCGAGCTGCTTCAGCTCAGGCGTCTAAGGGCACCAAACGGCCACCTGAGAATGAGAGACCAGAAGACATGGATGACATAGACCAATGTCTTATGAACCTGATCATGGAAGATCGGGAGAAGTACCTTCAGTCCATTGAAGGTGAAGAAGAGCCAGTTTGTGAAGAGACAATTCCTCTTCCACCAGAACTGGAAGATGAAGCAGCCACATGGTATTATTACGATGATATCTGTGGAAAGATTTTAGACAGCAAAGGTGTAGAACAAGCCAGAAAAGATGAGGTCGAAATCATCGAAAGTTTTCCAGTTTGGGAAAAGATTCCCAGACACAAGATGCCCAAAGGGGTACGCACCATTGGAACACGATGGTGTCAACAAGCAGGATGAAGAGAATCCACTTTATAGAAGTAGGTTAGTAGCTCAAGAAGTCAAGAAGGGCTCAGGTTTTGATGAGTTCTTCGCAGCTATGCCCAGTTTGTCGGCTTTGAAGATGCTAGTTACAATAGCCGTCACGTTTCAGTTGCCAGACGCTGGAAAAGCTGTCAAGGAAGCCTATTGCAAGCGTAGACTTCTAGGATTTTTGGATGTGAAACGCGCCCACTTTTACTCAGATGCGACGCGTGAGATCTATGTGGAACTTCCTGCAGAAGCAAAGAAGCCTGGAGAAGATGTGGTAGGAAGATTGCTCAAGTCTTTGTATGGAACCAGAGACGCACCTCTCAACTGGGAGTTGCAAATACAGAAGGTTATGTTAGCCTTAGGTTTCAAGCAAGGAAAAAGCAATCCATGCATTTACTACCATGCAGGCCGAGACCTCAGAACTGTTGTACATGGAGATGATTTTACAACAGCCGGAACATTTGACAACATCAAATGGCTTCATGAAGAGCTGTCGAAGAAGTGGAAATGTGTGGAACGTGGTATTTTAGGACCACCAGGAACACCAAACACCATCCAGGACATCAGAGTCCTGAACAGAATTATCACATGGAAGGAGAATGGAATTTGGTGGGAACCAGATGCACGTCATGCAGAGTTGGTGATTGATTTACTCGGAGATGGTCCCCGAGGAGCCAAAGTCAAGACACCACTTGCCAAGGGTTCAGTGGAAGACCTCAAGAACGCCACTGTTTTTCTCAATGATGAAGAAGCAACCCAGTACAGATCAGTTGCAATGCGAGCAGCTTATTTGGCACAAGATCGACCAGATCTGCAAGTAGCGACAAGATCTTTAGCACAAGGGCTACAACGACCAACTACCAGCCACATGCTTATGCTCAAACGAGTTGCACGATACCTAAGGTATCGACCACGCATGGCACAATTCTTTCCTCATCAGAGCAAACTCAGTCCATTTGTGATGTGGTCTGATGCTGACCACGCTGGTTGCGTGAAGACGAGGAAGAGCGTGTCAGGAGGCGTCCTGATGGCCGGAGGTTGTTGTATCAAGACTTACTCTAAAGGACAAGGAGTAGTCAGTCTTTCGTCTGGAGAGAGTGAGTATTACGCTCTTGTGAGCGGTGCCAGCAATTTGCTGGGAGAAGTTTCAACCGCCAAAGACTGGGGTTTGCAACCCGAGAGTGAAGTTTTCATGGACGCAAGTGCAGGAATAGCAATGGGTTCTCGCAGAGGACTAGGCAAGGCCAAGCACGTGGATACTCAATACCATTGGGTACAAGACCGCGTTGCCAAGCGCTATTTTCGGCTGAAGAAGGTCGACACTGGCGATATGCTTGCCGACGTCTTGACGAAACCTGTCATAGAAGAGAAAATGAATAAAGCCTTGCGAAATATGAATTTTCACTTTCTGGAAGGTGAGCATCACCTGACACTGAGAGCATAGATGGCTTGAGCGTGGCTATGAGTAGCTGTACATATCAAAACTCGCCTAGTTCAAATAATTGGACGGGAGCGCCGTTTTTAAACAGGCTCGGGAGGCGTGATCAGATATGTGTACAGTGTAGACTATGTCACATGTAGCATATATGTTTGTATATGTGCTGCAGCCATTTTAGTGCTTTCAGCTACCTTCGAGCTGACTGAGTAAAAGGTGCTGATCAGTGCTCAGGAGTGTTCATCAGATTTAAGAGCCCAAATTCTCTGTTCAGATATAGATAGTATGTTCTTCAGGACAATAGTCTTCTTCATATACTATATACATTAAATACTCCGACAGTATTCAGTCAATGCTCCCACAGACGTTTAACTCTCATTTGCAATACATGACAGGGGCATGCCAGGCATGGGCAGTTGCATGAACTGCATCAGTATTGATCAGTAGTGGTTGGAATAGTAACCAAAAATATCGTAGTGTTATTGTCAGGAGATTTAGGGTGTATATATGTATTCATATCCCGGTAATATCCCATTAACATTCTAGTTGTAACTCCAAAGTTGCCAAAACCATGTCGCGTAATCAAGGCAACCACGTTACCATGGAAAAATAGTTGTGTCTTTCTCAAGCAAAACCACTGGTTTGGGGGTCGTCCATTTTAAGAAACCCCGTATGTGCTCCGGTCAAAAGTTGGGTTGTATACACTGTATACCCATGTTGGGGGATGGTCATCAATTCACTTATAGTATAGGGATCTCTATACCATTCTATAGCCCGCATAAGGATCAGCATTTTTTCATGATTCTATGTTTACTTCCATTCTTGATCAGGGGTTGGTAACTGTCCCATTTTGGGAATATTGGACATCACCTAAAAAAGTAGCCATAAAAAAGACCATATACCGATTTTGGTTGGGTGATGTGACCCATGGGGACATTTAATGACCCATTCTTGATGCTTTAATATCCCCGGTTCTTTCACGGTTAGATTCATTATCATCATTCCATTCGATGATCCCATGGATTCCCTACGATGATTTGGGCACCATATGGAATCCATGGGCACCTGGCTGCAGTTTCACTTATCAAGTGGCTTGTATGACCAGCTGGTTTTTTGGGGATTAGCCTCTGGTAAATTAACAGTTGGACCCTGAAAATCAAGAATTTTTTTCATGGAAACTAGTCTTCCAACCCCGATTTTTTGCCAGGGTCAAACTGTTAATTTACCAGAGGGTATATCCCAGCTGACTGGGTCTTCCAATCCCATGGAATTCACCCCAAGTGCACCGCTTTTAGTATTTTCACCCCATTGATTCAATCACCAAAAAAAACCTGGTTGGTGGTGACTGGAACATGTTATTTTTCCATAATATATGGGATAGTAGTTGTTATATCAGTATAACCCAGTTGTATATGGAACTACTGCTGATTGGTGGTGACTGGAACATGGCTGGATTATGACTTTCTATATACTGGGAATAAGCATCCCAAATCCCAACTGACGAACTCCATCATTTTTCAGAGGGGTAGGCTCAACCACCATCCAGAACCTTATTAAAATCCCATCAAGTCAAATTTTTTTCGAGCTTTGAAGCCCGTAAAACCAAGCGTGGACCCGAGGTTCCGAACGCTCTGCCAGCAACTGAAGTTGCAGGCGCCTATCCAAATGGATGTTCCTCCGCCCAAATATGGGAATAATATCCTACAAGCATCAACCAACAGGGGATTTGAATCGTTGCTTCTTAGTTTTTTTTTTTAATGGAACTTGAAGTATCAAGATGTGGGATATGGGGATGCCAATGATGAATAGCCTGGTTGATTGGTAAACATGATAGGTTTCCCTACAGTTTATACTATGGGTTATCATGATCCCTATATTAAAGATAACATGCTTGGGGGAGATGGCTGAATCACTGTGGTGTCATTCCATGTTTGAAAGAGAGTAGAACGGTGAGTAAAATGGCCTAAGATGGGAGGTATGCCATACACTAGATAGCTCAACACGGAGAATCACTTTTCCTTTGGGAACCTTCAGAAAATCTAAGTGTTCAAGGAGTTTTTTTTTGGTCACCTGTGCAAGGCCCTTTTGAGCAAGAAGAACGGCAACTCGTGATTATGAAGTGGAATCGAACGCACCACACAACCCAGTAGAGTTCCTTTTATAACTGTTTTCATTGGTTCTATCACCATTCTTCTTGGTTTATGTCTCCATTGCCATCCCATTGTTGGGCTGAGTTTTCCACTGCCGATGGTGTAGCGATCCCACGAGGCACAAGTCTTCCCATGTCAAGAGTTTGGAGTTCAGCCAGGGGTCTGGGAGGTGCGTTTGGCCGAGATCGTGGTGGTTTTCTGGTGGAACATGTGCCTTTTAATAAGGCATATGATGGGAGTTTTCGGGAATATTTTTTGGGATATAACTGACCAACATGTTGTCCAAGACTGTGATATTTGGATTATTAGCCATTAACCTATTTGGGAACCTAAGCGAGGTAGAACCTATTAGAAATATAATGGTATATGCAACTAACCATGTGAAATTTATGTTTGATCAAACACTGTCTTTAAAACCTTTCGTGGCCAAATTGATCCGCTTGGGTTGCCTAATGATCCTACCATGTTTGTAGCTTACAGTCGCGCTGATGTAGCTTAATATGATTGCATATGTTTATATATATATATATCACCATCTTGTGCACCGTATCCAGTTTGGTTATCTGCTTAGTGGCTTAGTACGATTCTGACGCTGAATCAATGGTGGAGTGCAATTGGGTCAGTGGTTTGTGGGGATTGTTGGTCATATGTCGGTTGTATCGTTCCTACTGTTGACGACTTTTGTATCATATATCCATGCCCTATATACTTGGCATATACATTCCAAAATAGTCTGGTTGTTTTCATGCTCATGTTGCCATGAATTCGCCAGGAGTGTTTGGAGTTTAGGAGCTAGAATTGTTGGGGTGTGCGCTTTGCAGGAGGGTGCATCGATTACATCCCTGTTGTAGTTGGCGAGTGAAGTCGCTTTTCCAAAGGATGTTTGAGGGGCAAACCCTCATTCTGGGATCAGCACAACCTACGATTTGCGAATCGTAGGGGGGATGAACGTCCATAAACGAGAAGCGTCCGCTAGTGTTCCACGGGCCCGCGGGCCCACGGGCCCACGGGCCCATCCACGGGCCCATCCACGGGCCCATCCACGGGCCCACGGGCCCACGGGCTCGCGGGCCTACGGGCCCACGGGCCCGTGGGCTCACGGGCGCCCACGGACTCACGGAACTTACGCCCCGGACCACGGGCCCACGGGGGCACGGAACTTATGCCCCGGACCTGAACATGTCTACCACATTTTCTTAACAATTTCTGCCACCAAGAACTTGTGCCATGGACATGAACATGTCTGAAAAGCTTTCTTATCAAGCTGCTGCACACGAAGATTTAGCTACAAAGCTTTAAGCAAAATTACTTTACTTCGTGTGATCCCCACCATGACATTTATACATTTTCTTACTGGCAAATCTTCTGGCATTCTATCTGACATATCTTCTGACATTCTATTTGGCATTCTATCTGGCATATCTTCTGGCATATATCTGGCATTCTATCTGGCATATCTTCTGGCATTCTATCTGGCAAATCTTCTGGCATTCTATCTGGCATATCTTCTGGCATTCTATCTGACATATCTTCTGGCATTCAATCTGGCATATCTTCTGGCATATATTTTGACATATCTTCTGGCATTCTATCTGACATATCTTCTGGCATATATTCTGACATATATCTTCTGGCATATCTTCTGGCATATCTATCTGGCATATCTTCTGGCATATTTTCTGGCATTCTATCTGGCAAATCTTCTGGCATTCTATTGTCTCATAGATTTTATTTTCGTCAAATGTGGAGGGGTAAGAATTTTCAAAAGAAACAGAGAATAATTTTTAGATATTATAATATATGTGGGTGGGGTTCATCATCATCTATAGCAAAAAAACAGTCAGCGCATCATCATTAGCAGAAGCAAAAGGCAGCATGAACAAATTTCACTTGAATACTTCAAATTAGAAATGAAAGCAATCCAATCATCACACCATACCATCATATCTAGTATTGACCACTGGGGGTATGCTTGGAAACTTCCGCACACAGAGCGGTTCGCTCCCTCCCAGTGGTCCATTCATATATTTTATGGCGCGAAAACACGGCAGTGCATCTTGGGATTTCACGAGTAGAAGGGGTTGGATCATATACTTTAAAGATATCTGAGCTCTGCATTTATCTTTATATACATATATCTTTATATACATATATCTTTATATACATATACTTATGCACACATACTTATACACATATACTTATACACTTAGGTAGAAGATGATAGAAGTATATTAGAAACAATCATTAATCATATGCAAAATAATTGAAATTACAGGTAAGTTCGGGCACCGACAGTCACACAGAGGAGTTCGTAGAAGAAGACCAGAAAACAAAAGACATTCATTGACCCTGCCCTGGCCCCACGGGCCCCACGGGCTTGACGGGCTTCACGGGCCCCACGGGCCCCACGGGCGGGCCCCACGGGCCCGACGGGCTTCACGGGCTTCACGGGCTTCACGGGCCCGACGGGCCCCACGGGCCCGACGGGCCCGACGGGCCCCGCGGGAACGGAACACTAGGAGACAATGGCCCCATAAACACGAGCTTCTTGATGTGGACATCTCTGTATCAGCTAATCTACCCTCTGGTTATGACTAACAGTTCGCCATGGAAAGATCCACCATGCTATTAAAAACGGTAAACCATCTATTTCGATTAGGGCCATCGAACTACCATGGCTATGTAACAGTCCTAACCAGAGGGTAACTATACATCCATCCATCCAAATAAACTATATATATATATATATATCTAAATCTAACCAAATCAATAACCAGAGGCTATATCTAACTGTGGCTGGAAATCCCCATCGAAGACCTTCAGTCGAAGCATGGGTCGATGTCGCCAGGTGCAAAATTCGATCCGCTTGGGTTCCACTGAAGTGGAACAGGCGTGGTGAACCACTGGGGATGGGGAAATGGTCTATGAATTGGTGATGTTACTTGGAGATGGTCGAGGATTTTTATGGGGAAAACCGGAAAACCATATATAAATTGGTGCTTTTACTTGGAACATATGAGAAGGTCATCTATAAATTACATGTTTTTTGATTTTTGATGGTAAAGTCATCGATGTTTTTATTTCTTTATCGGAACGTCAATTTTTGAATTGGGGAGTTTCCATTGCCAGTCTACCAGAGGTGGAACGTCAATTTTTGTACGCCCAGTGGTTTTGTCGAGCAGACCAAGCGACCAAGCGATGGTAGTCAAGGAAATATTGAACGATTGGGCAAACTGTTTTGATTGATTCTGATCCTCATTCAACAGCTGGGTAGTTTCATTTACCCTCTGGTTATGACTGTTACATAGCCATGGTATAGATGGCCCATAGAAATAGATGGTTTACCGTTTTTAATAGCATGGTGGATCTTTCCATGGCTATGTTAAATAACCAGAGGGTACATGTCAATTTTCGTGTGAAGCAACATATCAAACAACGAAGGCCTTGTTCCCTCACGACAAACGATTCGAAACGTCAAAATCGCCTGTCCAGAGGTGTTGATCCAGGCACAGCCCTCCGGTAATCAGCTCTGTGGCTTGTTGGAAAATCCCCCATTCATAGATTAATAGTAGATAAATAATAGGTCTAATAGGTGATGTTCCCATTCAAATCTCCATTTATACGGTATTTCCATGTATTTCCACTATTGCACAGTGGTGAAGTAGTTATCATTAACTTTCATTGCGGACCAGTGTTTTCTCCTGGATGGACCTTGATAGACCATGGATAATAGGGGTTAAGATCACGACGTCTCAATAAACATTGGGTGGACATATGTTTTTCGCACAGGTAATCTAGTCAGGTCTGAAGAGCACCTATTGGTGAAATAATAATCGGAGTTGGGTCATGTTGGGCTGCCTGAAACTGTAAGTCTCTTTCCACGACAAGACCGACTCCCCCAAGATCCTTTTCCACTGGTTTTCCAGCCATCTTCGGGCCTTAAGCTTTTATATAATATTATATAACTGGTCGGTGGTTTGGAACATTTTTTTGTTTTTCCATATATTGGGAATAATGATCCCAATTGACTAATTTTTTTTAGAGGGGTGGCTCAACCACCAACCAGATAATGTAGATTACGCATGATTACCATATCTCCCCAATTTTGTTGTGTAACCAGTACTGGAATGACGGTTAGAGGGTGACTATCCCAAAAGGACCTTCTTTCTGGGTGAATCATCATCTGATATCATATCAGATCTCAAAAAAAAGTCGCCTCTGAACAAATTCAAGTTACCCTCTGGTGAACTAACATAGCAATGGAAAATCACCATTTTTCATGGGAAAATCCACTATAAATGGCCATTTTCCATTGCTATGTTAGTTCACCAGAGGGTACAGTTTGCTATAGAAAATGGATGAAAATGGCCCATTTACTTCGTTGATTTACCGTTTTTAAACATGGTGATTTCCCTGCCGGCCAGGTGAATGCAGTGATCGAGGCCTGCTGCGCGCTGTTGGACCTGGAGGCCCCTTTTTTGGGCGAATTTTGAAGCAGGGACTTGCCAGGGAAAACCAAGGGAAGAACCAGGGATTTTCTATGGATCTGTCATGGGATTGTGGGATATATATATATATAATGTATATATTATGTACATATATGTATATATGATGTATATATTATGTATCTACATATATATATATATATTGTGTATGTAGAATAAACTGTATCGCCATGAAAACCAACAAGCATGGGGGTTTGCTATGGACGTCATGAGATACCAAATAATATTGCCAAAACAAGATATCGCTTGGAGGGAGCGGTTCGGAGCATTCTCAAAATTGTCCCGTTGAACTGATTGAACTGGGGATTGAGGGAACTACGACAACAGAGCTTCCCAACCACATAATAGAAACATGAAGTGGAAGTAGAGACTTAGATCCAATCAGTTTGGGGTTGAAAATTGCTCCACCCAACCTTTTGTTGTGAAAACGACAGCAGATTGACAAAAAAAAGTCACACCCCCCCCGCTTCAATTTTGAATCTTCGATAAAGCCCTGGGGGTTTGAAAGTTGTGCTTGTCAAGAGTTTGATTCCATTTGATCAATGGCCATTTCAGAAACCGATTTATTGGAGGTACCTACCACATATATATATATACTATATACATATTTAATACACTATATATATAATATATATAATATATATAATATATATATAATATAATATCATATATATGATATAATATATAATATATAATATACATATCTAATATAATATAGTATACATATATATATATAAGATACACATTTTAATATATATTATATATAAGGCCTATTGATTTTATTCCATCTTCCATGTTTTCCATGGTCCATCATTCCCATCCACGAAACCTCAACACCTTCACGTTGTTCGCACCACGAAGGCGCGCCTGGAACGGGGTCATTCCGATGATCTCACGCAGACGATGAACCTGGACTTAGGCGTCCCCAAAGGTGTGCGCTGGGGATGGCGGGTATGGCACGGGATGGTCTCATGGTGAACCAGGAAACATCTTCAAACATGGTGATTTAGTGGGATTTAACATGGGGTTATCATGGCATTATCATGGGATATATAGTTTTGTAGCAATGGTGATAAACATGGGGATTGAAAATGGTTATCATGGGATATAAGATGGGATATTTTGGTAGCAATAATCGGATACTGGGGATAGTTAGGCATCAATGGCCAGTCTTGTCATGTTTTGTTGCTATTTGATGGTTATTCTGAATGGGTTATTGAGAATTAACCATTAGTGGTCAGTTGTTGATTGGTTATGATTGACGGGATATTATTGATGGGTTGTTATGATGCTTCGTTAGCCATTGGTTGTCAACCCACAAAGTTGTAGTGATCAATCCCTTGGATATGATCGACATGATGTGAATGATTGGACTGATTCGTATTGCCATGACCCCATTGTCTGCTTAAACATCTGTGTTGAAAAAATGTGGTTTACCCTCTGGTAATTTAACATAGCTGGTGAAAATGACCATTTATAGTGGATTTTCCCATGAAAAATGGTGATTTTCCATAGTTATGTTAGTTTACCAGAGGGTATCCTTACGATCCCTTCTTTTTGGTACTCTCCGGTGATGATTTCCATGGCAATGGAAATTCCAAGCTGGAACTTTTGATGGAAATCATCGAACTATATGGGTGACTGTCTTCCAGCAAATCACAAAGCCCCAGTTTTCTTGATCGGATCCTCAATCCCCCCCAAAAAAAGAATCCACTATAAATCACTATAAAGGCTATATAATATATATAAATTCCATATCAATCCCTATAAATTCCAATTTTTTATCTCCCCTCCCAGTCACTAGGTGCGCCAGCCGCCCCTGTTGGAGGGGTGCCTGGCACCGGGGAGGAAGAGTATCCGGGATTTCCGGTGTGGAAGCTCAACATGGGAGGAGTTTTTGGCCGCTTGTTCAGATCTTTCATGGGATTATAATCTGGAGGTTTCCTAGAATAGGGCTACCCCCAAATCATCTATTTTAAATAGGATTTTCCCATGATAATACTATCCATGTTAAAACGGTACTCCGTTTTTGGAAACCCCGTGAGTTTTTGAAATTACCATCATTTACCATCAATAAGTGGTTGCTTTTTGGTTTTTGGGTGAAATTATGACAATTCTATTAGTTTTATTGATTGCATATGTATGTTATATAATTACATATGTATATTATATAATTATTAGATACGTATATTAAATATTTCAATGTATATTATATTATATATAATTAGATATGTACAATAATATGATGAGCCATTTTGGATGGATTTTACGGATAAATACGGGGGCTTTAGAACACAAGGTGGATTTGATTTGGAAACAACATATCGTTTATACATATGTTTTGTCAAATTCCATGGTGGAGTTGGAATTTTGGGGATGATATCTATTGAGATATCGCAATTGTGGTTCCAACAATATGTGATAATTATCAACTAACATAGATGTGGAACAATCATGAAAATCCATTCTTTTCCTGCAAATGGTTGATTTTCCATAGCTATGTTAGTTTACTGGAGGGTACATATTACCAGCATTAAGTGAGAACATAAACAACAAGTGGAAGATGAATTCCCTCTGATATGGGCATGGATCAAATTTTAAATCCATAATACCTTGAACTTTCAGCAGAAATCCTTCAATTTCAGGGTGCCGATTCTTGACCCCATACCCTATACCCTCTGGTGGTTCAGCGTAGCTATGGAAATCACCATGTTTAATAGGTAAATCATCATAAATCATCTGTAAATGGGCCGTTTTCCATAGCTACTTGTATGTTAAGCAACTAAAGGGTATCATTTCTGGCGTGTACACAAACGTCCAATTTCTCATTTGGGAATGAACATGGTGAGATCTAAACCTATTTCGAACAACAGATTTGCATGGACTCTGACTCTTACTAGCTGAACATTGATTTGAATCACAAAAAGGCTCTATTCTTAACACACAATCTATCCTTGGGAACTGCATTTTTTCCAGGTTCTGGTTCTATGATATTCTATGTGAACATGTAAACTTTCACAAGGGCAACCCAGAGCCTAGAACAACTTGTCAATGAGCATACAAGGTGGACCTCCCCCAATCATGTTTAGTTATATTCCCGATGAGTTGGTTTATGTATAACTTGGTTATATTCCCCATTATTCCCCGTAAACCTTAGTTAACCAAGTTATAGTTCACCAAGTCATACACAAACCAACTTACCCTCCTGTAAATGTTTACATATGTTTACATAAATCTGGAAACACCACCAATTTAGATCATTGTGGGACCGGGATATACCCCCAATCACTCGATCATATTAAGGTGGCTACATATCCCACTGATATGCTATTCATGTACTTAAGCCTCAGACCAGATATTAGTGTTGCATATCAACCAACTCAATATTAGAGGCCATGAGTGATATAACCAACTTAAGGCCTTAGCTATACCATTGATATACCATTACCCTCTGGTTATTTTTTACATAGCCATGGTATAGACGGCCCTAATCGAAATAGATGATTTTCCCAGCGAACTAAACCTCCATTTATGGTTGGGATTTTCCAGTTCGCTATGTTAGTCCCATGGAAAATTGCCCATTTATAGATGATTTTCCCAGCTAGATACCTCCATTTATGGTGGGGATTTTCCATGGCGAACTGTTAGTCATAACCAGAGGGTAATATGGTTATGCATCAATACCTATGAAAATACCAGCTATTTAGTGGGTTATTCACATCCATTTTATCCCAGCTATTTTGATGTGAACAGAAGGGGTTTTCCAGGTTTTGACACACTGCCATATCTACCTAAACCTCTTAGTCCAGACCTCTTAGGCGGACCTGTGCCCAGCTGAGATGCCGGATCTTAGCAGGTGACGGTTTTGGGTAGGGCCTGGGTCAAGGGTGATGGTGGAAGCCTGGAAGAGGGTGGAATGGATAGGCTAGAACTTGTGAAACTTATGGTGATTTAACCTGGGCAAATTGGGATTTCATCGGAATATCGTGGTATATATAATATATATAACTAACTTACCCTCTGGTAAATTAACTTGTTGACCCTGAAAATAGCCAATTCTTAGTGGAAACACTAGTCTTCCAACCCCGACAACTGCCAGGGTCAAACTGTTAATTTACCAAGAGGTATGATATGGTGATTTAACCTTTGCAAATTGGCATTTCATCGGAAGATCGTGGTATATATTTAACTGATCAACTTGTGAAATGTTGATTAGTAATGAAAACTGTGATCAAACCATAAGATATGGTGGATTCAATGGGATGTTCATGAGGGTATAGAAATGATATGAGGATAGAATTGCTTATAAAATTGGGATCTGATGGACATTTTTATTGGGATATAACTGAAACTATCTAACCAATAATATGATATTTGGATCTGCCTGAAAATAGGGCATACCCCCAATGGCTCAATAGTCCGTTCCTATGAGAAACATCCACCAGAAAGCCTTTCTTAGTCAGTGGATTTGGTCAGGAGAGCTACTTATGTACCCAATTCTCAATGTTTATAGTTCAAGCAAGGTTGATGGTTGATGTCGATCATCTTTATTCAAACCTGTTCTATTGGTGGGACATATTTCATTCAAGTAGCTGCGTTTTTATCCATATTGAATCAATTGAACTGTGCGATTTGCCATAGCCAACAAGTCTTAAGATCCATGTAACACATGACTTCCTCCGGCGCCCAGACACAACAACGTCATGGCAGAGATCTTGATGAATGATCCCAGCATCTATCAGCAGTTGAAGGCAGGTGATGAACGGTGAATGGGTATGGCCGACCACGTTCTTTTATTTGGATGGATGTATAGTTGTTTATTGCAGCCTTTGATCTTGGGAAACTTGGCGAAATGAAGCTGCATAAATGGGGATACTTCAACTATGAAGCAAGTTTATTCTTTAGCTATTGTATTTGAATTGCTGGGAGTATCTTGTTGATAGTTGAAGACTCCCCATTCTCCCCATTTTTCCCCATTTGCTGATCTTAATTCTTAGTTTGCAAATCAGGATACCTAAATGCTGTAGCGCATTCCTCGTAGTCTCACGACCTGTGGTTAGGAACACCCAGTTTTTTTCCCTACCAAGACACATCTGCCTGGAAGATGCAACTCGCAAGATTTGTTGCACCGAGAACAAACCTAGGAGGCACTGCATATATATATATGTATATTATTGTATATTGGGATATATTGGGATACAGCGATTCAAAAAGATAAAGAAATGTTCGCAGACGAATAAATGGATCTACTCAATATCAATGGTTCCTACATGGTTCCACTGGTCAATACTGGTAGTGCCCTGTACGGCTTGGTATAAATATGTTGGGTATAGTCGGTTTCCCAAATGGGTTTGATGCTCTGGAAATATCGCTATGTTTAAGCTTTCAAACACATTACTCCACATATATTTTGGTTGATTCGCGTTGCAATTTTGCTGATGCTGTTTTCCAAGTCACGTCCACCAGTTTAAATTTGTTCCTTTAGAATGATTGTGCGGTGACAATATCCATTAATTCCTATGTACTCAGAGTGATCTGCCTGAACTCCCAGAGTAAAAAACATGCAGTTGAACCTCCTGTCTTTGGAACCAAAAAGCCATGGTTCTCCACCAATCCACTCAAAATCGACGCTTTTTCCGTCAAAGTGGTGGTTATGTCCATCCAAAAACAAGACTGGAAGTCTTTGGTTAATCGTTGAGAAAAAACATGTTTTTCAAAGTCAGCTCTTTTTTCTTCTGAAAACAACTGGAAGTCCAAGTATCTAGACCCTCCAAGTACCCTCAAAAATGGTGTTTTTCCCTCAATATTGTTTGAGTGATCTTAAGCGCATGCCATTGACAGCCGCAGGAGCTGAGAACGCCCCTGGGAGTGTCTTTTGCCAGGTGGGAACATCTGGAGTTTTCGAGTTGTCATTGGAAATTCGTGGGATATCCTGCAGATGTCATCGAATTTCCAGTAAAACACAAGAAATTTTTCGGGGCTTGGGAGGAATTTTTCTAGTGGATGTTCTGGATTTTCGGCTTGAAATGGTCCTATAGATATTCCTACTGGAAATCCGCAAAACCATAGTTTGTAGGTGCCTTCGAAATCGATATATCTCGGGTGGGAGCTTCCATGTTTTAGGCTTGGGGTTTACGAATCAGAATCTTGTAGATACTATTGGTTTACTGAGTTTACTGTAAAAGTAACAGGTTGGAGCGCATCTGCCAGGACAGGTACACATGGAAATAGATTTCACTCTTAACATGAGAACCGCAGTTTGGCTAAGTGTCTTTTGAAACATGTTGAAGATCACCTGTGCTTAAATCCTCGACCTGTTTCATTATTATGTTCCTGGGCGTTCTTATGGATCATATTCCAGGAGCATATTAGGAATTCCTTTTGTGTTGGGATGATCCAGGAATGTAATGAAGGGTTCATGATTAGGCATAAGCGACTTGCAATAGTGGTTGTAGATTTGTAATTCGGCGTGGAAGTCAATGGGATTGGTTTAAGAGAACATTTGAAGAAAGACCTCCATATTTCAGGGGAAGATCCATGGTTTCCTTTAGAATCCACTGTGTCATTTCAAAAAAAATACCCCTTGGTGTGTCTGTGTGTGTGTTATTGATAATGTTTTGTTGATCACTAGTTGGAAAACATGCTCATAGCGGAAAGAAGTGTTATTTTAAATGCAGTAATTCAATTTTCATAGACATATACAGAAGATATAAAGGACATATCCACTGATCTTTGCATCAACATTCCCTATAATGTTGTTCGTACCCACTATATGGTCTTATTTTCCTTTTTCGTGTTTCCAGACTCCCCTCCTTTTCTTCGTCTCTTTCGAAACGACACAAGGTGCATTAAGCCTGGCGTGGACACAGCGGGGCACAGCTTCTTCAAAATGCTGGGGGCATCTGCTGGAGATGAACATTGTGTGGCGGCCCAGTGGGGATTTGGAGTTTTCTCTGAGAATTTTTGGGGAAACACCACCATCTTTCATTGTTTATCGTCAACACACCCCAAAATTTCGAGGGTTTCTGAGTCTATTATCATCTTCTCCCATCATCTTCTCCCTTAAATGGGTATTTGTGGTGTTCCAAACTGTCACACAAAGCCATATCAACCATATTCTGGTGATCAATGGCAGGGAATTTCACCATAAATGAGCAGTTAAATGGAACGATAATCTACAAATGGGAGATGTGAAAAATTCCCATGTTTGATTGCCAGAGGGTAGCTTAGAAAAACCAGGGGATTGCTAGCAAGCGGATTTACCAATGATGGATGGTTGATCAGTTGATCCATCATCAGTTTTTTTTTCCCATTTACATCATCAATTAACCAATGGGATATTAAGGGATATTAATGGTTAATGATGGTTAATAGTGGTTAATAATGGTTAATGAGATAACTGGTTGGTGGTTTGGAACATGACTGGATTATTTTCCATTTCATGTATGGGATATATAATCCTTCCCATTGACGAACTCATATTTTTCAGAGGGGTTAAAATCACCAACCAGATAAACATTCATAAACGCCATGATTTTCACCTTTTCCCCTGGGATGTTCCCCAAAAAACCGCGGAATGTCCCAGGCTATGACCTTTTTGGGCGCCTCTTTGAACCCATCATTGCAAGGCGGGGGATGGGTTTTTGAAAGATCCCGTTTTTTTGGGAAATACGAGTACCGGGATAATATGAATGAACTAGTATTGGGGATATATTAATATATAGGGAGGGCATAATTGTTTATAATTATCCCATATTATACCTATTAATTTTGGGATATTTTAGATGGGGAGATTTTTTTTTGACAAACTAGTATTCTTCCAAACTCATATTTATGCTGGCTGGTGGTTTGGAACATGAATTTTATGTTCCCATATTATCCCCAATAGTTGGGATGATGATCCAATCTGACTCATATTTTTCAGAGGGGTAGGGCTCAACCACCAACCAGTATGTCAGGGTTTATTTAAATTGGGAGGATGGTATGTTGAATATGTTGAATGCTTGAGGCTTGGGTTGCGGTGACCCCATTTCGACCAAGTGGGATGAGCTAGCTGGGAAATCCACGAAATGAAGGTTTGGATAGGAAAATCTCCTCGAAATAAATGGGCGATTTTCCAGCTAGCCAGATTGATTGCCATAGGGCACCTCAAGTTTGAAACACTTCTCCTGGCCTATTTCTCCCCTTGGCGCCGCAGGCGGCAGCAGCAGCCCCCGAACTTGGCTCTGGCTGGACCGGTGGAAGCTGAGAACGTGGTGAGCGTACAGGTGCGCCACGTGGTCTCCGCGATTTTTTGTGGGGCAAGAAATGCCTTTTTGATGCTGGGGACATAAAAAAATTACCAAGTTTTATCAGGTTTATGCCTTCGGCCTTCCTCCCCCATTAACTGTTCAAAACTGCCGCCCCTTCAGAAACCACAGACCAAAAAAGCAGAATCATATTGATGGGAACTTAGGACATTTTTGGGGGAATACTTAGGGCTTTGGCAGGGGCAAATGTGAACTAGGTGACTGGTATGAGTTGCAAATGGTGGAATCATCAAACCAAAAGGGTCCCAGTCCAATGTTAATTTTATGGGTCGTAGTTAGTGGCGCATTATGGAATATAGGAATTGCTTTCGGCCATGAACATTGGTTGGTTCCAGCATCAGGGATGATGGGTTCTTTGCCTCAAGTCAACTTGCTGGAAATGGCAATGATATGGTATGGTGATGCAAGGTGTTGTTTCGGTATGATGATGCTTAAAAAGTATCAGTCCTTTGTATAGAGCATTGATCCTATCATACCTGCGATACTGAGATATATCGCAATCAACCGGTCCAACCATTGTATGGGTGATTTACCTCCAACAATGCCGATATATAAACCACACTCTTTATACACTGTCCTCCAAACATGGGCTATTGGAAAGGAGGTTTGATGTGTCTCACATGTGCTGGGCCGCTAAAAACCACAGGCTGTCCAGGCCTGGAGGCTCGTGCACTTTTTGTGTGTTTTTTAGGTGCTTTTCTTCCTGCTTTTCTTCTGGTGGTTATGATGTGTCATGATAGTTATTATGGGAGCACGTTCGTGGGAGTTCTGGTCGTACATATGTAAAAAGAAGTCTCAGATGGTGTCCATTCCGTCTTCTAGAGTGAACCCACTCCCTAAGTAGTGGTTGTTGGTAGTTATTAAACCCCAAAGAAACCCAAACCTTGTTGGCGGGTCAGCTTTGAGGGTTGTTGTTCCATTATATTCCATCAGATCCCTCAAAACAATACCATTTTGGTTGGTTAAGATTGTGTTAAATCAACATTTATAGAGTATAAATAGCACTACCAAATTATTTTGACACCATATTGCAATAATATATATATATATGAAAATTGGTATTCCATTTTGTTAACCTCAATCATACAGGGTTTGTCTGAAAATAGGGTATCCCTAGATCCATTGAATTAGCCAGAATTTGGGTCAAATCCCCCATGTTCCAACACCAAAAAAAGTAGTGGGGTACTGGATATCCACTGTAAATCATCATGATGATACACTGGCCATTTTAATATAGTATGTTAATGACCATCATGATGATCATGATGATCATGATGATCATGATGATCATGATGATCATGATGATCATGATACAAAATATGATCATAGTTTTTAAATCAATATTTTTAGAATATTTTTCAGTGGCATTTTACCAACTTCATTTTTTTTTGGGGTTAATTACACCAAATATGGCCATCCCGTTGGTTGCATCCATGGATTTCAAGTTCAGGTGTCTTTGGAACGTAACCTGTCCACCTTGCACTTCACACCCGCTATGAGCCTCGAGGAGAGATGGAAGGCCGATGTTTTTTTGGGGACTAGTTGACTAGTTAGTTCCTTGATATCCCAACTTGGATTTTCCGGAAATCCACTAGGGAAGCAAATCTAAGCAGATGGAGGTGAAAACCCCATAGCTATTCCATGTTTTTTCTCCCCTGCCTGCACCCGCCAGGATAGTTTACCCTCTGGTATTCAAACATGGTTTGCTGGAAAATCCACCATTTAGTTCGATGACTTACCCAGCGAACTGAACATCCATTTAGTTCGCGGATTTTAACCGTGTTGGGCTGCCGGTAATGGAGATTTTCATACGGAGATTAACTGTACACTATTTATAAATGGAGATTCTACTACCTACTGTAAACCATTAGGTTTGATGGATTATCTTGTGGAATTCTGAGTAGATTAATGTAGATCATGATTATCCATGAACTTCGAACACCTATCAACCAAACAATTCGCAAGCAGTTGTTTGACGATGCTTACCAATAATTGCAGCAACTGAAGGTATGACTTATACCTGGTTGGTGGACATTGGTGGTTTGATTTCCATGTGTTTATTGTCCTAGCCTCATGATCTCCATTGACGAACATCGATTTTTCATGGAGTGGCTCAACCCGCGATGGCTTAACGGGGGATATGGGGGATGAACAGATGAACATCCAGCTATTTTGATGTGAACCGGCGGCCACAGAAATTGGGAATGCACCAGCAAAAATATGGAAATGACAAGCAGAATTGAGGGTGAATCATGATTAATCCCTTCCTCCTAATACTAAACGTCCCCCTAATACTAAAAACAGGCATCCATCTCCAATTTCCGAAAATTTCAGTTTGGCCAATTTGACTTTTAATTGATCCCCTTTAAAAAACAATTCAAAAATCAACCTACCATTTGTGGGTTCTCCCCCCTAATACTAAAAACTAATTCATCCCGGGGTGTTTAGTATTAGGGGGGCTAGTTTTTAGTATTAAGGGTTTTAATTTAGTATTAGGGGTAAGCTTCGAACTGCCATTTTTGGCAATATTTTAATTGCGTTATATAAGGAAATTTAATTGATTTTGAGATCGGAAAAAATAGTTTTTAGTATTAAGGGTTTTAATTTAGTATTAGGGGTAAGCTTCGAACTGCCATTTTTGGCAATATTTTAATTGCGTTATATAAGGAAATTTAATTGATTTTGAGATCGGAAAAAATAGTTTTTAGTATTAAGGGTTTTAATTTAGTATTAGGGGTAAGCTTCGAACTGCCATTTTTGGCAATATTTTAATTGCGTTATATAAGGAAATTTAATTGATTTTGAGATCGGAAAAAATAGTTTTTAGTATTAAGGGTTTTAATTTAGTATTAGGGGTAAGCTTCGAACTGCCATTTTTGGCAATATTTTAATTGCGTTATATAAGGAAATTTAATTGATTTTGAGATCGGAAAAAATAGTTTTTAGTATTAAGGGTTTTAATTTAGTATTAGGGGTAAGCTTCGAACTGCCATTTTTGGCAATATTTTAATTGCGTTATATAAGGAAATTTAATTAATTAATTAACATGACTTCGATTTGGTTCCCTAATAATAAATACCCCCCTAATACTAAAAACTACCTGCCGTGTTTTGTATTAGGGGGGGGGGGGGGGAGGGGGGGGGGGTTTAGTATTAGGAGGAAGGGATTAGTCAACATAAATGATGATTTAAGTGATTTAAGCAGGAGAAATGAGGAATTTGATCACCAACATAGCAAAACCAGCTCTAGCCCTTCTTTGCCAGGTTTTACTTTCCTCACATCTTTACAATGGCAATTTTTTTAAAGACGTTTAATCACCATTTCATAAGTCATGTATCTTCCATCATAATTTTGCTTTGAAAATTCAATTTCTCAGATTTCTTCTTATTTTTCTCCCAGTTTACTGTATGTTTTTGCTTGGAAAAACTGAGGCCTTCCTTTCTGAAAGAGGCATATCTTAGTGGATCTTGGTGAATGGTCGTGTGATAACTAGCCAGCTTTTATTTTTTTCTATATTCGGTTAGTGTCTAATAGTGACCATCATCCTTGTGCTGGCTGGGTCACATATAATATAATATAATATAATATAATATAATACAATATATAGTTCAATGGCTTAACATATTCCTATTCAAAATCTGTACCATATTTTGCACGAAACCCTTTTATGTACCGGCAGAATCATATAAAAGCAATGGTTCCTGTAACAACAAATCCTTGAACCAAGCCATGTTTCAGAGATCCATATGTAATTTCAGCCAACATCCTTGTGTTGTTTGGGTGTTGTTTGGTTCATATCCACATTCTTGGTTTACCATCATATCCCCCACGATATCCCAATGATTCAAACTGGCCCCCATTTCGCCAGGTTGAAGAAATTCTCTGCAGTGCACTGGCTGAGTTGCCAGAGGATTTCGCAGGGGAGTGCGCCGAAGCCGCGCAGCTGACACCATGCACTGCACTGTAGATGACATGCGTTTTTTTTTTTGGGTAATCATCCCAAAGAACGTGCAAATTGAGAACATCTAAAATGGGAATTATAGATTATGAATGTTATGATTATAGATAGATTTTCAAGATCCAAAATGGGAATTGATCTATTTTGCAGAGATGATCTGATCTTTCAGCGGTTGAAATGGATATGTTTTTCATCAACAATAAGAAACGCAGGACATGATGTCAACGCCTAAGTTTTGGGGAGTATACATGGATAACGATGATGATTTTGGCGCCGAGAATTCAATTCAGCAGTATGATATGATGCAGCCAACATCAACACAGTCGAGAGATCTAGTGCTTTCAGCACCAAAGGATAAAGTTAAAGGCTGGGAACCTCTCACAATTCAACCAATCAACGCGATTTTTGACAACGGATGGATTTCCTTGGGTCCGCCCTGTCTGGAAGTTTCTGAGCAATTCCCAGAACTAAATGCCATGAGGAGACCTCAGAGAAATTCAGTACCAAACTTGAGATGGACATTGAGATATAATTTCCTAGGCCAGTTCTCATCAAAAGTTGGTCTTTGCCCTATGTTGAAACTACTTCCTTTTGTTTGGTTTGAGCCTCACGGTATCTGCGTATTTTTCTCCAAAAGTTGGGGACTGGGGAGCTGTGAAATCCAGCAACAAGCAAAGCACAGGGGAAAGATGAGCCCAACTGATGAGCGTAGAGCTCAAGAAAAAAACTGCTGATTTTCATGTTTTTCCATCATGTTTCACCACAAAAAACCCACCAATTGGACCTTTGCTTTGGGAAACCCTCATGCTGAAGGCTGGTTCGCTGGGAGGTACTTCCGTCTCCGGGGAAATCAGCAAAGTTCGGGCTCGAGGACTGGGTGAATCCTAGTGGGAAAACCGCCGGGACATCCAGTGGTTCATCACCATTTTTCCACTGGATGAATGATGGGTAGATCTGGGAAATCCAGTGGCTTCATCACGGTTCATGGGTAGACCCATCATTTTTCTTACTCTGGCTGCTGGGTAGATCTGGGTAGGCCAGATTTTCTGGCACCAGAATCACACTGAGAAATTGGTTCAAACATGCGAAAGATGAAATCTGCCGGTGCCCAAGGGGCCCGACCGGCACTCTGTGTGACTAAAATCTGCTACTCAAACATGGCTTGCTGGAAAATCCACCACTTAGTTCGATGACTTTTTCCCATACACACCACCATCTATAGCTGGTTGGTGGTTTGGAACATGAATGGATTATTTTCCATAAATCATCTATGGGATGTCATCCTTCCCATTGACTAATTCATCTTTTTCAAGATGGTTATTGCACCACTAACCAGATACCCTCTGGTAAACTAACATAACTATGGAAAATCACCATGTTCAATGGGTAAATCCACTATAAATCACAATTTTCAATAGCTATGTTAAATTACCAGAGGGTAGGATGTTTCATCATTTTTCCGCGGCCACGATGACACCAGAGGTTATTCAGCATCTCCGATCCACTTGGAGGAGATGGACCACGCTTCACTTTATCTTTATCACTGTTTTCATATTTATAGCTTAAAACCATCAGCGTTTCGATTCTAAAAACCGTATTTACCATAGATATTCCGAATATCTTTCTGGAGAGGCTATATTCCAATATTCCAATGGATTCCAGGAATATTCCAATTCTAAAAACAGATGTTGTCCATCAGCCAATTCTGGAGAGGCTCCCAGAGCTGACCGAAGCGCAAGAAGCGGAGCTGTCCGCGGAGAAGTGGTTGTTTGAGGTGCAGCCGTTGGAGGTGTAGATGGCCAGTGAACATGGTCTGCGAAGAGTTCTGGGTAAACACCCAGTTTACCCATGTCTATTGGGGATTCAAGCCACAAGCATGTAGGTCCTAATTGTGTGTATGACCAACTGTTTTCACGGAACGGGATATAAATGGTTTGTGTCAAACTGACTCAAGATGGGGAATATAACAAAACAAAACATCATTTATCCTCATTTTCTCCAAGCAAAATAACAATATTCCTGTGTTGGAAGCAACGTCAGATTCATTTTGAGTATATAGGGAACAACTATATCCTTAGCATGTTTTGGCTCGCAACCGGCTTGACCTGAAAACGGCCATACTTCTTAGGACTACTACTTCTTCATTGCAACGCACTCCACTTCAACTCACAACTGATCATGGCTGCCCCTTCCCCAGAATGGCTGTTTCAGCATGTTTCAGCCATGTTTCACGGCAGTATTAGGTGGCTTTTCAATTCAACATCCAGCTTTTACATAGCTTTTACATGGCTTTTATATGGCTTTCACCATATTTTTGACTGGAAATGACCCACCGTACCTTGACATTCTTCGGGATCCCTGCGATCCTCCGCCGCCATGACCACTTGGCACGTGGGTGACCTCGCGGAGTGCTACTCGGTGACCCATGCGGAGTGGTGCAGAGGGGAGGTGGTGGATCTGAAAAGCGAAGGCGTAGTGGTGAGATACCACATACCTGGCGGGATGCTGGGCTGCAGGATTGGTGTTCATCCCAGAGGGATGATGGGAATCCCATGATTTTTGCTGTGGAAAAAAAGAGATGAAATAGGCATGACATAGCCCAATTTACTGTGAAGAATAGAGATGTCATAGAATAGATGATGGGGATATCAATGGGATATATACCATCCAGTAGGCAAACATGGCTGGAAAATCCCAAAAAATCCCCAACAACATGGAGGTTTTAGTTCGCTGGGAAAATCATGGAAGTAAATGGAAGATTTTCCAGCAAGCCATGGAGCTGATTGCTGCAGGTGGGAATATGATGTCTATAATAGAACTGTTTGGTGGATTTGGAACATGTTTTATTCCCCAGATAGCTGGCAAGCTATAGGGGTTCTTACTTCTCAAAGGTGGGGTCTTCGGTGGCGAACTTTTGAGCAGGGTGCTGTGCAGGGTGCTGTGCAGGGTGCTGTGCAGGGTGCAGTCCAGACTGCGGTGGCGAAGTCTGGCAAAGGTGCTGTGCAGGGTGCTGTGCAGGGTGCTGGACTGCGGTGGCGAAGTCTGGCAAAGGTGCTGTGCAGGGTGCTGTCCAGACTGCGGTGGCGAAGTCTGGCAAAGGTGCTGTGCAGGGTGCTGTGCAGGGTGCTGTCTAGACTGCGGTGGCGAAGTCTGGCAAAGGTGCTGTGCAGGGTGCTGTCCAGACTGCGGTGGCGAAGTCTGGCCAAGGTGCTGTGCAGGGTGCTGTGCAGGGTGCTGTGCAGGGTGCTGTGCAGGGTGTTGTCCAGACTGCGGTGGCGAAGTCTGGCAAAGGTCCTGTGCAGGGTGCTGTGCAGGGTGCTCTGCAGGGTGTTGTTCAGAGTGCGGTGGCAAAGTCTGGCAAAGGTGCTGTGGTGGCGAAGTCTGGCAAAGGAAAGGCGCTGTGCAGGGTGCTGTGCAGGGTGTTGTACTAGTGCGGTGGCGAAGTCTGGCAAAGGTGCTGTGCAGGGTGCTGTGCAGGGTGCTGTCCAGATTGCGGTGGCGAAGTCTGGCAAAGGTGCTGTGGAGGGTGCTGTGCAGGGTGCTGTTCAGACTGCAGTGGCGAAGTCTGGCCAAGGTGCTGTGCAGGGTGCTGTGCAGAGTGCTGTTCAGACTGCAGTGGCGAAGTCTGGCGAAGGTGCTGTGCAGGGTGCTGTGCAAGGTGCTGTGCAGGGTGCTGTGCAGGGTGCTGTCCAGATTGCGGTGCCGAAGTCTGGCAAAGGCGCTGTGCAGGGTGCTGTGCAGGGTGCTGTGCAGGGTCTGAGCCAAGGCGCTTTTTCGTTGCCGCATATCATTTTGACATGCGCATTTTTCGTGCAAAAACATTTTTATGCCGGCCCATCAGCCAAACGCAAACATTCCGCTACCGGTCCATTAAGCAAAACAAAAGGTTCTGTTACCGGCTCAGTAAACAAAACAAAACAACATTAAGAACCATGAGTTCTAACTTTTTGGAATCAACAGATCCTTCCACTGGTAACGTATGCTTTTTCAGGTTTGGAACCATGAGTTTCAAGCTTTCGGAACCCGCAGTTCCTTACAATGATAGCCGCTTAGCTTCGAAAACATAAATTCTAACTTCTGGGAACCGGGAATTCCTTGCAATGGTAACCTCTGGTTCCCAGGTTGGGAACCGTAAGTTTCAAGGTCTGGGAACCGGCAGTTCCTTGCCATGGTAACCTTTGGTTCCCACGTTGGGAACCATCAGTTCCAACCTTTAGGAACCGGAAGTTCTTTGCAATGGTAACCTATGGTTCCCAGGTTGGGAAGCATGAGTTCCAACCTCTGGTAACCGGCAGTTGCTTGCAATGGTAACCCATGGTTCCCAGGTTGGGAACCATGAGTTCTAACCTCTGGGAACCGGCAGTTCCTTGCAATGGTAACCTGTGGTTCCCAGGTTGGCAACCAGTGAGTTCCAACCTTTGGGAACCGGCAGTTCCTTGCCATGAACCAAACGCAAACATTCCGGTACCGGTCCATTAATCAAAACAAAGCGTTCTTTACCGGTCGATTAAGCAAAACCATGAAGTTGTAAAGAAAATGTTTTCATATCATTTTAACATACACCTTTTCGTGCAAAAACATTTTTTTGCCGGCCCATCAGCCAAACGCAAACATTCCGCTACCGGTCCATGAAGCAAAACAAAAAGTTCTGTTACCGGCTCAGTAAATAAAACAAAACAACATTAAGAACCATGAGTTTTAACTTTTTGGAATCAACAGATCTTTCCACTGGTAACGTATGCTTTTTCAGGTTTGGAACCATGAGTTTCAAGCTTTGGGAACCCGCAGTTCCTTACAATGATGGCCCCTTAGCTTCGAAAACATAAATTCTAACTTCTGGGAACCGGCAATTCCTTGCAATGGTAACCTCTGGTTCCCAGGTTGGGAACCGTAAGTTTCAACGTCTGGGAACCGGCAGTTCCTTGCCATGGTAACCTTTGGTTCCCACGTTGGGAACCATCAGTTCTAACCTTTAGGAACTGGAAGTTCTTTGCAATGGTAACCTATGGTTCCCAGGTTGGGAAGCATGAGTTCCAACCTCTAGTAACCGGCAGTTGCTTGCAATGGTAACCTCTGGTTCCCAGGTTGGGAACCAGGAGTTCCAACCTCTGGGAACCGGCAGTTCCTTGCAATGGTAACCTGTGGTTCCCACGTTGGCAACCGTGAGTTCCAACCTTTGGGAACCGGCAGTTCCTTGCCATGAACCAAACGCAAACATTCCGGTACCGGTCCATTAAGCAAAACAAAGCGTTCTTTACCGGTCCATTAAGCAAAACCATAAAGTTGTAAAGAAAATGTTTTCATATCATTTTAACATGCACCTTTTTCGTGCAAAAACATTTTTTTGCCGGCCCATCAGCCAAACGCAAACATTCCGCTACCGGTCCATTAAGCAAAACAAAAGGTTCTGTTACCGGCTCAGTAAACAAAACAAAACAACATTAAGAACCATGAGTTCTACCTTTTTGGAATCAACAGATCCTTCCACTGGTAACGTATGCTTTTTCAGGTTTGGAACCATGAGTTTCAAGCTTTGGGAACCCGCAGTTCCTTACAATGATAGCCGCTTAGCTTCGAAACATAAGTTCTAACCTCTGAGAACCGGCAATTCCTTGCAATGGTAGCCTCTGCTCTTAGGTTGGGAACCGTAAGTTTCAACGTCTGGGAACCGGCAGTTCCTTGCCATGGTAACCTTTGGTTCCCACGTTGGGAACCATCAGTTCCAACCTTTAGGAACCGGAAGTTCTTTGCAATGGTAACCTATGGTTCCCAGGTTGGGAAGCATGAGTTCCAACCTCTGGTAACCGGCAGTTGCTTGCAATGGTAACCCATGGTTCCCAGGTTGGGAACCAGGAGTTCCAACCTCTGGGAACCGGCAGTTCCTTGCAATGGTAACCTGTGGTTCCCACGTTGGCAACCGTGAGTTCCAACCTTTGGGAACCGGCAGTTCCTTGCCATGAACCAAACGCAAACATTCCGGTACCGGTCCATTAATCAAAACAAAGCGTTCTTTACCGGTCGATTGAGCGAAACCATAAAGTTGTAAAGAAACTGTTTTCATATCATTTTGACATGCACCTTTTCGTGCAAAAACATTTTTTTGCCGGCCCAGCAGCCAAACGCAAACATTCCGCTACCGGTCCATTAAGCAAACAAAAGGTTCTGTTACCGGCTCAGTAAATAAAACAAAACAACATCAAGAACCATGAGTTTTAACTTTTTGGAATCAACAGATCCTTCCACTGGTAACGTATGCTTTTTCAGGTTTGGAACCATGAGTTTCAAGCTTTCGGAACCCGCAGTTCCTTACAATGATAGCCGCTTAGCTTCGAAAACATAAATTCTAACTTCTGGGAACCGGCAATTCGTTGCAATGGTAACCTCTGGTTCCCAAGTTGGGAACCGCAAGTTTCAACGTCTGGGAACCGGCAGTTCCTTGCCATGGTAACCTTTGGTTCCCACGTTGGGAACCATGAGTTCCAACCTTTAGGAACCGGAAGTTCTTTGCAATGGTTACCTGTGGTTCCCAGGTTGGGAAGCATGAGTTCCAACCTCTGGTAACCGGCAGTTGCTTGCAAAGGTAGCCTCTGGTTCCCAGGTTGGGAACCATGACTTCTAACCTGTGGGAACCGGCAGTTCCTTGCAATGGTAACCTGTGGTTCCCACGTTGGCAACCGTGAGTTCCAACCTTTTGAAACCGGCACTTCCTTGGCATGAACCAAACGCAAACATTCCGGTACCGGTCCATTAAGCAAAACAAAGCGTTCTGTACCG